GCCAGGTTCCACCCCCCGCCCCGAGGCCACGCCCCCAGAGTCCCGCCCCAGCCCAGGCCAAGCTCATCATGATCCCGCCCCCAGTCCGAGGCCTCGCCCCGCCTGGTCTCATCCCTAGCCAGAGGTCATGGCCCTAGGTCCCGCCTCTGACCGAGGCCACGCCCCACAGAGTCACGCCCCAGTCAGGCCACGCCCATCACAATCCCGCTCCCAGCCCGAGGGCATGTCCCGTCAGGCCACGCCTCCAGCTGAGACCACGCCCCCACCAGAGATCCCTCTTTGCCCGAGGCCTCGCGCAGCCGGTCGGACGCTCACCCACACCAGCTGCTTCCGGAGGCCCTGGATGGCCCTGGCGTTGGCGTGGGACTGGGAGACGCATACGGTCAGGACAAGGCTTGGGGCAGACAGGGGAACGAAGGTCACACATCCGACCACAGGCCATCTTCCCTGACCTCCTCTCCCCACCCTGACTCTTAAAAACTCGGCCCACGGGTCTGCTCTCTACATCCACTTGTCTGGACAGGACCCTCGTTTCCTTTCTCCCACGGCCCCCAGCCTCCCCCCTCTCCGCAGGGCGGTAGGAGTAACTCCACAGCCGCGGCGTGCGAGCAGGCTGCACCTGGCGCCGTGTCTCCCTGGGGGTCGTGGAACCCTCACAGCGTCCCGGAGGTGGACCCCTTGGTTGCCCAGGGCGCAGGGGGTACCCGGCCGCCTAGGCCCTGGCCCCCCTTGGCTCCCCTTGTCTTGCTCCCGTATCCCCTGAGACTGGCTGGGCGTGCTCAGACCTACACCTCCTCTCCCTGGAAGGAGGCCCCTTTCCCAGAAAGCCCCCCTTCCCCTGCTCCCTGGCAGGCACCTGAGCAGGATGAGGAAGGGGAAGCTGAAGGCGTGGGAGCCGAGGTAGTGGAGGGCGAGCTGGCTGGGCACTGGGAGGCGGAGGGCCACCAGCTCCGGGACTACCTGCCACGGGGCCGAGTAGTTGGTGAAGAGGCCGCAGTCCCAGGAGGAGTGGACGCTGGAGAGAGGCCGCCGAGGGAGGGGGGCGTCAGGGCTGAGGCTTGGCCCCGCCCACCAGCCGCCTCGGCCTCTCCCAGCCCCTCACCTGCTGACCACATAGCCCAGGGGCACCGCGGCCAGGAGCAGTCCCAGGAGGAGGACCAGCTGGAAGAAGAAGGTGGAGCTGGAGGCGCGGAAGAGCCGCGGGGACGCCCGGGAGTTCCTCAGGAGGGTGTACTGGGGAGACGTCGAGGAGTCCAGGAAATGGAGTTAGAAGGGGGCAGAAATAGGAGGTGCGCCCAGCTCGGCCTGACTCTGGAGCTCAAGGCGCCCGCCACGCCCCCTCCCAGATTCTGCCGCTCTGCCCCCAACGCTCACCTTCTTGATGTAGAAGGTGAGGAAGATGAAGACGCTGTTGAGCAGGGGCAGCAGGGGGCAGTAAAAGAGGCCCATCCAGGTGACTGTCTGCCCTGCCACGATGTCCAGCACGTTCTTGGGCACCAGGAACTCCTCTCGGTCCAGCCAGGCCCAGAACTTGCCCGAGAACCGCTCCACCATCAGCCTGGGGGAGGGGAGTGTCCAGGTACCTACCACCCACCAGGTATGGGTGGACCACGTCCTGCTGCCATTACCCTCGCCACACCCACTCACATGACACACACGTGTGGACTGGCTCACCCTTGGCTGTGGTCACTGGACACCCCCAAACATGCCCACGTCACCCCGTTCCCCCCGTGGTGTCCCCCGTGTTTTACCTGCGAGGCAGGGTGACCAGGAAGGCGAAGGCCACCGTGAGGAGGAAGTTGAAGATGCTCAGTTTGAATAGTTCCTCCCCCACCGAGTTCTCCCAGCACTGGAGTGCAGAAGGCGGGAAGGGAGGGGAGCAGTCACCGTCCACGGTCCCCGAGCCTCCCCTCCCTTCACCTACCCGCCGGAGGGCCTTCGGGGAGTCTGATGTGATTTCTAAGTTAAAATAGGTCTCGGGGATGGGATGAGAGCAGGGAAACCCCGCAGCGAGGACTGCCACGGATCCTAGTGTGGTGTGGACAGCGCCCCCTGGAGGTGTGTCGCTGTGGGGCTCGGCTCTGCCCGCAGCTCACACAGGTGGGACTGGAGAGGGACAGGAGACTAAGGGGCAGGGACAAGGCTCTGCATGGTTTGAGGTAGAAGGATGGAGGGAGGGGGCCCCGGCGGAGCTGTCAGCCACCTGGTAGTCACAGGCGTTGTAGCCGTGGGACTCACAGCGGGTCGTGTTCCTGCCGACACACAGCACGGTCTGGCCCAGGGAGAATGAGAACATCCCCAGGCTGGCCAGCTTCAGCACTACACACCTGGAGGTGGGATGGTGTCAGGAGAGGGGCCCAGGTACATGCAGGGAGGCACGGGCGGCTCCCAGGATACAGGTGTGGCTGATACCAGGTAAGATTATTGTCACCTCCTGGGCTCAGCCCTTTTCCAACCTCCTCCCTCCCTGGCTATATTTCCCAAAGTGTGTTCCCCAGAACCCCAGTCTCTAGCTGATTCATGGGAAAAGGGTTCTGTTTTTAAATCCGTTTGGGGAACACTGGACAGTCCAGCCGCCCTCCGCTACATCTACCTTGGGGACTCACATGCGTACATGAGACCTTGCAGTAGAGAAAGGTCACAGCCTTGAAAACGCTACTGGAGCAGTTCTACTCTGTCACAGGGCGTCGCCAGGAGTTGGAATCGACTCCAGGGCAACTGACAATGACAACTATGCAGCAGGAGTCCCTAAGTGGTGCAAATGGTTAAGCGCTCGGCTACTAACTGAAAGGTTGGAGGATCCAACCGACCCAGCAGCACTGCGGAAGAAAGGCCTGGAGGTCTGCTTCCAAAAGATCACAGCCTTGAAAACCCTATGGAGCAGTTCTACTTTGCACACATGGTGTCACCATGAGTCAGAATCACCTTGACAGCAACTAACAACAAGAAGCAGTAAAGAAACGTGTTAACTTTTAAGCATCCTTATCGAACATAAGATCTTCTTTTCTTCTACCGCCTATTAAAATCTGGCCACTCACACAATCTTGTACATCACAAACCCACTTAGAGAATACATAACTGGACCATAGAGCTATGATGGGCTAACCTGAAACATGAGTTTTCCATTTTGGACTTGGAGTTGATTTAAGAGCTCTGCTATGATATGATGGGGTGAATGTGTCTTACAGGAATTTTGGGAGGCCAAAGTGTGGAATGTTATGGATTGAATTGTGTCCCGCAAAAATGTGTATCCGTTTGGCTAGGCCATGATTCCCAGTATTGTGTGATTGTCCACCATTTTGTCATCTGATATGATTGTCCTATGTGTTGTAAACCCTACCTCGATGATGTTAATGAGGCAGGAGTAGAGGCAGTTATGCTAATGAGTCAGGACTGAATCTCCAAGATTAGGTTGTATCTTGAGTCAATCTCTTTTGAGATATGAAAGAGAGAAATGAGCAGAAAGGCAGGGGGACCTCCTACCACCAAGAAAGTAGTGCCAGGAGCAGAGCCCGTCCTTTGGACCCAAGATCCCTGCGTTGAGAAGCTCCTAGACCAGGGGAAGATTGATAACAGGGACATTGCTCCAGAGTCTACAGAGAGAGAAAGTCTTCCCCTGGAGCTGGTGCCCCAAATTCAGACTTCTAGCCTCCTGGACTGTGACAGAATAATTCGTTTGTTAAAGCCGTCCACTTGTGGTATTTCTGTTATAGCAGCGCTAGATGACTGAGACACTGTGGCATGCACGTTCCCTGTAGGCGTGGATGTTTTCCGTACTCATGGGCTGGGAGCAGTGGCTCTTCTGTTGAGAGAGACTGGGAGGCAGGGCAGGTGGGGGCTTATTTTTCGTCTGGCATCCTTGTGAGCAATTGGAATGTTTTACCATGTGCATGCATTATTATCTATTCAAAAACTCAAGTGTAAAACCAAGTAAAATAAAGTCAAGCTTAGAGGGAAGCAGAAGGCAGAGCAGGCAGAGCCGAGCTGGGGGTTGACAAGAGGAGAGAGGAGCTTGGCTGGAGCTCAGGGGCTGTACCTGAGGATTTAGGGGGAGGTGAGGAGGGGCGGAGGGGTGCTGAGTGCTGAGATGGAAACAGGGCAGAGGTGGAGGTAAGGGAGAGCTTGGTCTGAACCTGCACCCAGCAGGCATCATGAGCTGGGGCTTTGGAGCCAGCCCCATGGGGGTTCCAGTTCTGGCTCTGCTCTGTCCTGGCTGTGTGACCTTGGCTGTGAGTCCCACGTTGCAAAACAGTGGCCTGTACCTCTGAATGGCCAGTGTTTGGGCCACATTGGTGACAGTCTTTAGAGGTACCAGTTGCCACTGAGCTGACTCTGACTCATGACCACCTCATATGTGTCAGAGTAGAACTGTACTCCATAGGGTTCTCAAGGCTGTGACCTTTCAGAAGCAGATTGCCAAGCCTTTCTTCAGGAGCCTCTGGGTAGAACTGAACCACCAAACTTTTGGTTAGCAGTTGAGGGCTCAACAGTTTGCATCCCCCAGGGACTCCTCTTTGGAGGGGGCGCTGAAAAACTTGAGACTCGGGGCCTCTCCCCTGAGTCTGTGTGTTCTCTTGCCTTCCCTCTGGCCTGGTGGTGAATGAGAGGAGTCTCCCAGCGCCGGATCCCTGGTGCCAGGCAATAAATCAAGGCAGGGTCGCGGACACACGGATGCAGACCCCTCACGTGCCCCCGGCCCTCTCCCCTCCCACCTCCCTCCCACACACTGTCCACTCGTCACCCCCCAAGGGTGGCACTCACCAGATAAGGGTGAGGTTGACCTCGGTGTTGGGAGGATATTTCTCCAGTTGGACCAGGAATACAAACAGCAGGGGACCCAGGAAGTTGACCAGGGCGATGACCCCAGGGGGCAGGTACTGGAGCAGCAGAAACAGGGACTCCTGCAGAATGCAGGTGAGGGTGAGGGTGAGTGTGAGACAGTGTGAGTGTAAGTGTGTGTGACTATGGATATGAATGTGTGTGCATGTGAATGAGTGACTATGGATAAGTGTGTGATGATGAATGAGTGTGAATGTGTGTGACAATGTATATGAGTGTGAATGAGTAATTGTGAATGTGACTGTAGATGAGTGTGTGAATGAGTAATTGTGTGTGACTACGTATGAGTGTGAGTGTCAGTGTATGAGAGTTTGTGGCTGTATATGAGTCATTGAGAGCATGTGTGTATGTGATTGTGTTACTGTACAAGTGTGTGTGAGTGTGACTGATTGTGAGTGTGTATATCAGAGTGCAAATGAGTGATTGTGAGCGACTGTGAGTGATTGTGAGTGTGTGACTGAGTGTGTGTGAGTGTGAGAGTGTGTGACTGTATGAGTGTGTGTATGAATGAGAGATTGTGTGGCTGTATGAGAGTGTGTGTGAGTGTGAATGAATGAGTGTGAGATTGTGTGGCTCTATGAGTGTGAGTGAGTGTGAAATTGTGTGATGGTGTGAGAGTGATAATGAGTGTGAATGAGTGTGAGATTGTGTGACTATATGGGTGTGTGAGTGTGAATGAGTGAGTGTGAGATCGTGTGGCTGTACGAGTGTGAGTGTGAATGAGTGATTGTGAGGTTGTGTGACTGTGTGAGTGTGAATGAGTGTGAAATTGTGTGTGTGAGAGTGATAGTAAGTGTGAATGAGTGAGTGAGTGTGAGATCGTGTGGCTGTATGAGTGTGAGTGTGAGTCAGTGCTGGGGCTCCTGCCAGCTTCTCGGCTCCCTGTGATCCCCAGAATCTAGAACATAACTCTGGGTGGCCCGGGGTCCCGCAGCCCAGAGACTGTTCCCAGTGGCAGCAGGCAGTCTGCCAGGGGGACTTGGTCGTGTCCTCGGGCAGATGGCTTTAGCCCGGGCTCTGTAAACCGGGATGCTCCAGCTCCCCTGGGCACGGGGCTGCGTTCAACGCACAGCAGTGGCCCCGCACCTCCTTGCTGTCCTGCGAGTATGTGGTAACCCAGAAGATGGCGCTGACGGCCGCGACCACCAGGAGCCCGATAAGAAGGTTGACCCGCAGGTAAGTGAGCAGGTGGCAGATCCTCTGGGCCCGGGTCTGTTGCTGCGCCTGCTGGAAGCGGCGCTCCTCCTCCAGCTCCACCTGGCGCAGGGGGCAGACGGCGGGGTCAGGCCTGGGCTGGCCGGGGAAGGCACTGCCGCACAGACCCAGGCCCAGACCAGTGGCGGTGGGAGATGGGCTGTCAGGTCAGGGCAAGGTCGGGGTGGCCAGGCAGGGACGGGAAGAGGAGTGGCGGCTGGATTATCCAGACCCCCCCAGCCTACAACCGTGCAGGTGAGAGCTCATACCCAACACAGGTACAGCCTCCTGCTGCGCCGTAACACCCTGTGTGCACACTCACCCACATTCACTGACACACTCCCACATGTGGTCCTGCACACTCACATTCATGCATTCACACTCACACCCACTCATGCACTCATAGAGCCAGACATTCGTCTGCATAACCACATAC